ATAATGAAATCTTACCATTTGTAACAAAATGGATGGATGCCAAGGGGTATTATACTAAGTGAAATAAGTCAGCCAGATAAAGACAAATACTGAATGATTTCACTTACACGTGGAATCTAAAACACAAACATGGCAAAACTGAAAGAATCATAAACACAGAGACAAATAGCTGGTTGCTGGAGGGAAAGGGAGTGGGGAAATGAGAGAAACAGGTGAGAGAGATAAAGAGGCACATAAATGTACATCAAAAGAGGAATGGATAAAGAAGATGTGGCATATATATATATATATATATATATATATATATAAAATATTACTCAGCCATAAAGAAGAACAAAATCATGCCACTTGCAGACACGTGGATGGACCTAGAGACTGGCAGGCAGAGTGAACTAAGTCAGGAAAACAAATATTGCATAAATGTGGGATCTAGAAAAGTTGTACAGAAGAACCTATTTGCGAAATATAGACACAGAAACAGAAAAATATATATATATATATACGTATATTCACGAAGGGCAGAAAAAGTGGAGGCATGAATTGGAGATTGGGATTTAGAGAAGGAAATGGCAACCCACTCCAGTATTCTGGCCTGGGAAATCCCATGAAGAGAGGGGCCTGCGGTCGCAAGATTCGGAAACAACTGAGTGACTAAACCATCACCAACAGCATATACACTATTTTGCATAAAATATATAACTAATGAGAATCCACTGTATAGCACAGGGAAACCTACTCAGTTCTCTATGGTGACCTAAATGGAAATCAAGATTGCCAGAAGAAATATCAACAATCTCAGATATGCAAATGACACCACTTTAATGGCAGAAAGTGAAGAGGAACTAAAGAGCCTCTTGATGAAGGTGAAAGAGGTGAGTGAAAAAGCTGGCTTAAAACTCAACATTCAGAAAACTAAGGTCATGACACCCAGTCCCATCACTTCATGGCAAATAGATGGGGGAAAAGTGGAAAGAGTGATAGATTTTATTTTCTTGGGCTCCAAAATCACTGTGAATGGTGACTAGCCATGAAATTAAAAGATGCTTCCTCCTTGGAAGAACAGCTATGACAAACCTGACAGCGTATTAAAAAACAGAGACATCACTTTGATGGACAAAAGTCAGTATAATCAAAGCTAAGATTTTTCCAATAGCCATGTATGGATAGGAGAGTTGGACCATAAACAGGGCTGAGTGCAGAAGATTTGATGCTTTTGAACTGTGGTGTTGGAGAAGACTCTTGAGAGTCCCTTGGACAGTAAGGAGATCAAACCAATCAATCCTAAAGGAAATAACCCTGAATATTCACTGGAAAGACTGATGTTAAAGTTGAAGCTCCAGTCCTTTGGCTACCTGATGCAAAGAGCCAGTTCTTTGGGAAAGACTCTGATTTGGGGAAAGATTGAGGGCAAGAGGAGAAGGGGGTGACAGAGGATCAGATGGTTGGATGGCATCACTAACTCAACGGACATCAGTTTGAGCAAACTCAGGGAGAGAGTGAAGGACAGGGAAGCCTGGTGTGCTGCGGTCCATGGGGTCGCAGACAGTCAGACAGGACTTAGTGACCGAAGAGCAACAACAGACGGCAAGAGATGGTGTTGTGTTAGTGCCTCTGTCCTGTCTGCCTCTCTGGATCCCCACAGACTGGCCTGCCACGCTCCTCTGTCCAGGGAACTCTCCAGGAGCTCTTCCCAACCAAAGGATCAAACCAGGATCTCCTGCACTGCAGGCAGATTCTTTACTGTCTAAGCCATCAAAACAGAAGGGATATGTGTTTATGAGGCTGATTCACATTGCTCTATAGCATAAACTAACACAACATTGTAAATCAACTATACACTAACAAAACTTAAAGAAAAAATATAACAGGAAACCACTGAATAATTTTAAGTGGAAGAGTGACCTTATTTATATTTCTAAAAAGATTACTCTGGCTTGCTTTGGGGAGAACCTTAGGAAGGTGTCGTCACAAGCAGCAGGTAAGAAGTGACAATGGTCACAATAGTGACTAATATATCTGGGACAAATTTGAAATACATTTAAGGGAAAGAAATTAATTTCTACTTGTATGAGTTCTCTTCATCTCCATCTAACTTATAAATTAAAATGATTTGATATTCACTTATGGTCACTAACAATCTAATTCTGAAATTCAAGAAAGGAAAACAGAATCCAATGTGAAGGCCAAGTTTTATGGGGAAAAAAAAAAGTTCTACATGGCACAGCTTATAATCATGAAATAATTAGAAACAAACCAAATGCCTAACAGGGGCTTCCCTGGTGGCCCAGATAGTAAAGAATCCACCTGCAATGTGGAAGACCTGGGTTTGCTCCCTGAGCTGGGAAGATCCCCTGGAGGAGGGCATGGCAGCCCACTACAGTATTCTTGCCTGGAGAATCCCCACAGACAGAGGAGCCTGGTGGGCTGCAGTCCATGGGGTTGCAAAAAGTCGGACACAATGGACCGATTAAGCACAGCACAAATGCCTAACAGAAGAGGCCTCCTTAAGACAGTTATGGTGCATAAAAGAGATGGTTTTTGGAAGAAAGCATTGACATAAACAGTGTTAAGGATATGACACTAAGGAAAGGAATTCAGATTGATGGTGGAGAGCAGTGAAGTTATGGACTTGGCGTCAAGTGTATTTATGGGGACTGTATTTGTAGAGAGGATATGGGAAGGAGATTCTTGGTGAATGCTGGAGCAATAAAGATGGACAGTTAAAGCTGAGTGGAATTACAAGTGATCTCGAATGCTCAAGTCATGACAAATACAAGAGAGCATTTATTCAGTTCCTAATATACATTAGCTAAGAGCTCCATGGTAGTCTACATTCTTCATTTCATCAGATGTTTACAGCAATCCTCTGATGTAGGGGTCAGCATCCCCATTCTACAGAAGAGGAACCGGAGGCTCACAGACATCCAGTGTCTCTTCCAAAGCTATGCAAGTTGACACCGACGGGGCTGGGTTAGCACTCAGACATTGCTGACCTCAAAGCAGCTAATCTTTTTCATTACCCAGTGGTTCAACCTGGGCTTTACCACATAAATTCCAAAAAGGAACTCAATCCTCAACCTCTGTCTCAATTTATGACCTCAGCTAAATGTGTGGATCTTGGTTTTTCACTGGATACAGGAATTCACAGGATTAAGATCTAGAGAATAACAAGTGTCTACTATGCATGCAGACACTGATTTAGACGCAGAAACACAAAGATGATTCCAATAATAAGATACTTCCTGCCTTCAAAGAACTCTCTGTCTAGCTAAGGAGGGAGCCAGACATAAGCAAGTGACATTACACAAAAACGGAATCAGTCTTTAACACATGGGTAAAGATGTGAGAGAATTCACACTTGGGAGAATTCAGGGTGAACTGTGATGGTGACTATCAGTGCTCTCTTTGCCAATGTGCACCATGCATATAAAGCTTGGAAAGACAGGTAGGACTTCATTGGGATAGAACCTGATGGTTTAGCAGGAAAAAAAAAAAAGGTAGATACTCAGACTGTCTATTCTACCTGGCCCTGACACTTTAACTGGGGTGTCCCTCTGGGTGGCTCTGTGCCTTAGTGACCATGTCTGCAAAATGGGCATCATCACAGTGCCTGTTACTGACCACCAAATGAGATACGATAAGCACAGCGCTTAGCCTCCTGCCTGGAGGAAGAAAGTGTCAATAATTGCCAATAAATATTCATCAGGGCTTGGAGAAGAAAATGGCAACCCACTCCAGTATTCTTGCCTAGAGAATCCCGTGGACAGAGGAACCTGGTAGGCTGCTGCCCATAGGGTCACACAGAGTCGGACACGACTGTAGCGACTTAGCATGCATGCATGCATTGGAGAAGAAACTGGCAGCCCACTCCAGTGTTCTTGCCTGGAGAATCCCAGGGACGGAGGAGCCTGGTGGGCTGCCGTCTATGGGGTCAGGTCGCACAGAGTCGGACACGACTGAAGCGACTTAGCAGCAGCAGCATTCATCGGGGCTAGACAGGAATTTTCATGGAGAGGAAATGGTATGGGAAAGAACATGGAAGTGGAAACACATGGATTTAGAAGAAGAGCACAGAGACTGGAGCTCTGTGGTGGCCTCAAAGGCCATTTTCATGAGGAGGAACACTTCTGTGGACACTGGACAATCTTTCAAGCCATGGAAGGAGGAGAGTGACATAATCAGAACCAAGTTATAGGCACTAGAGAAGTAAGAGTCAGGAGGAAGAATGCCTGGCTGGAGATCATGGGGTGGACAGAAGGATGAAGTTGAATTAGGCAATGATGGGGTGGCGGTCGTCCCAGACACAGTCACCCGCAAGGTCAGAGGAAGAAGGAGATGGTGATGATGCTGATGATGATAATGACGGGGAGGAAAGGGAGGAGGAAGAGGGACAGATCTGCTTTTGATTGCATGCTGGCTGGGCACCGTGCTGAGATGTTATGGCAAGCTGGGCAGAGAGGAATGGCTTGGAAAAAGTGAAGAAACTGCCCCAAAGTGTTAGGTAATGGCAGAACCAAAATTTGAATCTAGTCTGTCTAACTTACAGCACTCCTATTTTGACCACTAGATTCTCCGGGCAATGAAAGAGTGGGTCCAAACCCTACTCTGTGACCCCAATCTGAGAATGTCTCCCGTGAGAACATCCTGACTATCTCACACTCTCCAAAATGATACCAGCTACACTTAAAGTGTATCCCCCTGCTCCGCTGCTGTGCTGGGCACGTCCCATAGATTGATGCTAATCTTCCCAACCACTCGAGGAGACGTAATTCATTCCTATTCTCAGAGAAGGAGGCTGGGGCCCAGAGAAGGGATCTTTACACCCAGGGACATAGGTCCTCTCTCTGCAGGGCCTCAGCTGAGGTGACTTCTTGGGGCGACAGTGGTGTGGGTTCCGTCGGCAGAGTGAAGCTGGGGGAAGAGGGCACCATTCTTCCTGGGACCTTCAGAACCTGGGCAGAGCCAGTGGACGCCCTGGCCAGAGGCGCCGGGGGACCTACCTCGGGGCCTGCTTCTCCTCTTCCGCCTCCCTGCTGAGATGCTGCGTGGTGCTGCCTGCAGCTGACCGATCTCGATGGGCGTGTTCGCGCGGAAGCTCTCCTTGAACTTCTGCATCAGGGACTCCACTGGCTCCTGTGTCGCCTCAGCCGCCGCTACAGGGTGGGCAATGGGGCTAAAGTTAGGGCTTGGCCCACCCGCAGTCTCTGGAGAATTCGGCTTGGGTCCCCCCACCCCCTGTGTGTCTGGAGCTCCCTCCCAGACCCAGTGATGACGCAGGAGTCATGGAAACCAGGAGAGATGAATCTGCTATCCTGCACATTTATTGATGTAACACCCACTATGTTTTTAAGGGCACTGCCCCCATGCCCCTGAGATATGATGGTGAACACCATCCATGCTTCAAGGAATCCACGGCGTGGTAGGACACGTGTCCAGGCATTGCCGATACAGTGCAATACTCCTGTGACAGGAGAATAGAGTGATGGGAGAACAGGAGCACCAGGAAGGTCAGCTCACCCATCCTCGGAATCAAGGTGGGCTTCTTGGAGGAGACAGTACCTCTGCCGAGACCTTAAACAAGGTTAGCAATTAGCAAGTAAGATAGAATCAGGGTAGAATTGCTGGCAAGATTGGGATAAGAGAGTGCCCTGGGTGGAAGGAGAAGCACGTGCACAGACCTGAAGCCAGAAAGAACGCAGCGCTTGAGTAAGTGAAAGGAGCTCCGTGTGGCTGCTGTGGAGCCTCGGCACAGCAGATGAGGAAGCAGAGGCCGGATCACCCTGAAAGCCTCCCTGATGATGAAGACTTTCCCAAAGGCTGAAGGTGGCCGCCAGAAGGCTTTAAAGAGGCAACCGGCATGTTCCAGTTAGGTCCCTGCGATAACGACTGCTAACCAGAGTGTGGAGTACACAGTCAGAGGCAAGGAGAAAGGCCAGCCAGAGGCTTCTGCAGGAGCCAGCCAGAGACAAGGAAGCCTGAACCAGAACAGGGGCAGGAAAGGCAGACAGCAGGCCTGGGGCCAACATCATTTCAGGAGACGGGGGGCCGAGCTGGTAAAGAATCCGCCGCAACGTGGGAGACCTGGCTTCGATCCCTGGGTTGGGAAGATCCCCTGGAGAAGGGAAAGGCTACCCACTCCAGTATTCTGGCCTGGAGAATTCCAAAGGGGTCGCAAAGAGTCAGACATGGCTGAGCGACTTTCACACACAAAAACACAAACACACACTGCGGTGCTGTGATACACAGACTGCACGGTAGAGGAGCCCCATCTCACTAAGGGAAACGCACTTCCCCCCAGACAAGGCGGACAGCTTGCTCTAAGCTACCAAGCAGTAGAGTCAAGTCTTCTAAACCTACTCCGATGGTCCATGTGTTTCAACACCCTCCAAGGAGCTTCCGGTAGCCACATTTTCAGAAATTTCCAAACTGAGTCTGGTAGAAAGTTACAGAGAATGGAGACAGTGATGTCAAAAGGGCAGAGAAAAAAAAGTTAAAGATAAAAGTAAAAAAAAAAAAAACACAGAAGAACTTGAGAAGGAAGCAGAGAGCCAACATAAAAGAAAAGGAGAGGAAATGAGAAAGAAGAAAAGGAGATTGGCTGAATGGTCTCTGTGCCTTTGTTCTGAGAAATCCCCAAAGACAGTCCCGACTTTGAAATCTTCAGACTCAGCCCTCCCTCCACTGACGTCTCCAGAGGCCAGGAAAGTTCTTCAGTTTAAGCCCCCTGCTGTCTGATGACAAGGAAAAGGATGTGCCAAAGATTCCTATTTCTTTGATGGACCTTTTCCAGAGTGGACAAAGAAGGCTTCTGAACATCCCAACACCAATTTTAAGGAGATCCTGTTTTCTCAGGAAGTTTTATCAGCTTAGACACAAATGTGTCTGCAGGGTAGCTCATACCCAGAAGGCTGGTTTGGGTATCAGACTCTGAGAAATCTCATCTTTAGGGACATAGAAGGGAATCTGTGCTTGCTAAGGAAAAGACAATGGACAATACAAGTGACCCTGTGGTAGCACAATGTACATATATGCCTCTCTTGATGTCCGTATCCCCAGGCATCTCAGTTAAGTCTACTTAAAGGTGAGCCAAGAAAAAAATCCCAAACAGATCTACACGCCAACCCTATGATACAGAATCCTCCAGCAAAAGCCTACAGTCCCTTCTGAGAAGCAGAGTCACGACCAATCCTGATGCTTTAAACCTGGAAAGGAGAGTGATCTGCACAAAATGGTCAGAGTTGGGCTATCCTGTGGTCCAAAGTCCAGAGCAAGTCACAGTCTGGAATACACCAAGGTTGGGGGAGGGGGGACCCATACACATCTGTCAAGATCCATGGATTCATTCATCTCCACACTCATTCATTCATTCTACGGTATTTTCCGCAAATATGTCTTGGTCTGCTTGGCTCACATAACAAAAATGATAGACTGGACAATGCAAACAGGTCAGATTCTCGTTTGAAGATGGCTGTCTTCTGACGTGGGCTTTTCTCAGTGTATCCATGCTGAGAGGGAAGTGGGGAGAGAGGGAGGGAGAAACGGAGATAGATGTCTTCCTCTTCTTATGAGGACACAAACCCTATTACATTAGGACCCCAACCTTACATTCTCACTTAATTTTAGTTACCTAATCAAAAGCCTTGTCTCCAAATACAGTCACACTGGGGGTTAGGGCTTCAATATGTGAATTGTGGAATACACGACTCAGTCTATAGCAGACTACATTTGGAGGTGGGACCTTTAGAATGTAATTAAGGTTAATGAGATCATAAAATTGGGGCCCTAATCATACAGCACGGTGGCCTTAGAAGAACAGAAAGATTTCCCCTATCCCCCCTGAGGACACCAAGAGAAGGTGGTCATTCACACGGCATAAAGAGAGCCTTCACTAGAACCCAACCATGCTGACGCCCTCCAGAACTGGGGAAAAGTAAACATCTGTTGTTTAAGCCACCCAGTGTATGGTGTTTTGCTAGGGTGGGTCTAGAAGACTAAGTCACTGTCACATTGGGGGTTAAGGCTTCAGCATATGCATTTCAGGGGGATGTAAACTATTGGTCCATAACAGGGTAAGATGGTAGAAACAACAACAAATAAAACCCCTTTGCGATGCTCACCATATGGACAGGAAGACCGGCAGTAATGACATGAGTGACAGAGAAATGCAAAATTTGCAAGTGATACCTACCAAAAGGGAGAAGTGGAAGATGATATAAAAGGCTATGTTAGAGGAATATGCCTTTGTCTAGGAAAGTCATGGAACTTTGTTTCAAGGAAGGGAGCAGCAGGACTAAGACCCGGAAAGAGCATGAGTTAATCGGGTGAAGAGGCAGCTGCAGGTGGGGCTGCAGGGAAGAAAGCAGAGGAGTCAAAAGAAAGAGTCTAAACAAAGACCCCTTGGGGAGAAGGAATGTGGAAGGGGCTTCAATCACCACTGCAGCTGAAACGCTGAAAGCAAGTGGTATGAGGTCATCTGGAGAGGTAGGAAATCCCAGCACTAAGGCTAACCTTGACCTTCCCCCTAACCCTCACTCTCCTGGGTCTTACCAAGGAGAGGACACCGTGAAGGTTTTAGATGGCAGATCTTTGTTGAGGGAAGATGGCTCTGGTGGTAGCAAGAAGAATTCACTGGAGAAGGTCAGAAATGGAAGTGAGAAGGCCAAGGAGGAAGGTGGTGTCATAGCACAGAAGTCCGTGTATGAGATGTATGCGATCTAACCCATGCACGAGATGCTAGAGCTGCAGAGGTGGAGACGGAAACGAAGGAGATGGATCAGGGGAGACAGGAGGGGAGACGGGGCAGGGCGAGAGTTATTTTGTAGGTGTAACTCCTACAGGAGTGGTGACTGACTGCAAGGGGAGGATATGGGAGAGGGAGGGAGACAGGATGACTCCGGCTCTGGCAGAGCAAGGTGCCTCTCAACGAGAGGAGAGACATCGGGAGAGGAATGAATGTGAGTTTAGTTTTAGGGAAGGGCACTTGCTGCCTCCTAGATGTCTGCGTGGAGAAGGGTTGAGGAGATGTGGGTCTTGTACTCCCAAGAGAGAAACTGGACTCTGCGGAGGCTCTACACACCCATTCTTTGAAACAGGTAGAAAGGGAGTGTGTATAATGATTAAGAACATCAGCTTCTGACACAGTGTAGGCTATGGAACACAGAACCACTCCTGACCTGCACTATCTGATCTCTCTTTCACCCCTAGACCCATCTTCCAGCCACAGGTTCATTCTGCTCCTTTCTGTTTCCTGGAGGCAGACCCTCAATGGGCTACTTTGTAGGTCTTCGATAACTGGCTGCGGGTTGAGTTCGCCCAGGGAGACAGGCCTGGAAGGATCTGGGAGGAGGAGATTTGAGGGGATGCTTTCCCTTGCTCCTCTCCTGTTTCCACATCGTATTTCTGATAGAGACTGGGGCCCTGAGGGCTTCTCTGGTGGCGCAGATAGTGAACAATCCACCGCAATGCAGGAGACCTGGGTTCCATCCCTGGGCTGGGACGAACCCCTGGAGAAGAGAATGGCAAGCCACTCCAGTATTACTGCCTGGAGAATCCCATGGACAGAGAAGCGAGGCAGGCTACAGTCCATGGGGTCACAAAGAGTTGGCAAATGACTGACCCTCCACAATCATAACTTCTGCCACGGCCCCTTTTCCACAAGCCGGCTCTCACAGACTGATAAAACCACACCCTCTCCCTGCCCCTTCAGCTCTAGGAGTTAGTAGTGGGCTTCCTGATAGTTATTTTTTCCTGGTTCCTCCCCGTTGATTCTCTGCATTCTGACTATTCTCTATAAATAGTCACTTCGTTGAATTCCTCCTAAAAATCCCATTGGAGGACGCCTTCTTTGCCCAGCTGGAACCTCGACTGATACATCATCCCTTTTCATCGTGGCTCTGACATTCAGCAACTCCAAAAGGTCAGCCTCTTCCCATCCTGTTATTTCTGCTTTACTTTCTCCTAAGCTGCTGCCGATCTGACCAGCTGGGAGCATAGGAAGATACACAGAGAGGCAAGGTTTGCCCCCCTGGGCTGCAGGGGTTTCTGATCCCGACCACAGCAAATCCTACCCATCTGTTTGGCTGCTCTCGCCTTGGTAGCAGTGCCAGGAGCCCAGACAGGCTTAGAGCGGGAAGTGCTTATGCAAACCCCTCCA